ATAGAACTTGATGACCTCGGTTGTTTTGAATATATATGTGTAGCTTGTACATTCCTTCAACTATTTACTAAAGGCGGGTTTAGATGGGGTGGCTATTAATGCGCCCTTTCAGACATAAAAACAAACGAAATTTCTGAGAGGAACGATTAACTGAAATATACAATAATAATACAATGAATCAGACAGAGAAATTATTACAAGAATGATTAAAGGGAGATAACTACAATTAACGTACAGGGAACTGCTGTGATGAACTTGTCAAAGACTCGTTTGCGAAAGTCTAAATAATTCATCGAAATAAAGGGTACTTGCAAACATTATGACTAAATTAGACTCAATATGACCACGCATCTACGACAGCTAGGTGAAGCCTGCTTTACAATACATAATTTATGAATTCTTTAATATGATATTGACGTTAAGGCAGGGACTAAACAATTCAATATACTTCCGGAATAGTAGCGAAATATCAATTAGAAAGTCAAATGTTTGCAGTTAATCCGGAAAGAACACAATACGTACTTCTCATCGAAACCAAAGTTGAAGTATATACAAATCGGCTTGCAAAATCTTGTTTTATCAAAAGTCCACTATATCCCATCAATTTAAATAAATTATGTGTAATCGCTTTATTTATGCAAAACACGAAATTGAGTAAAGAAGTCTGTACCGTGTAGGTTCAACCTACAAAAATTTTGCCTTTAGCTGAATATTTGACCGATGGTTGTTGGGCCGTATCCCACTCAAAATTGATTACGTTTTTCACTTTGTTTGTTATCACAAGAAATATTCAATGTCCATTACTGCAAAGCCACCTATTGATATCATTAAGTTAAATATGTCTTGTTTGGCATCAAATGAATATATTTCTCTTTTACTAATATATAATAGTGAAAGCACTTTTTATATCAAAAATACCTTTAAATGTTAATACTCATTTTAACTCAATATCATCCGAAATCTTCAACATTGAAAACACGATTTATTTGTCAAATTAAATCAACATTGATGTTGTGATCTTACCGGAAAAGGATGGACTTTTGATATCCAATATGTAAGACAAAATAAACATTTTACCATTGGTACACGAATCGTGTACCATAATGCGCTTCAGCCCCAGTTGTAACAAGAGACTCGAGGGACGAGGCTAGACACATTGCACCAAATCAAACGAGACGCTAGAAATTTGCACTCGATTGAGACTGCTGGCTAATTTCGCCAAACATAACTGATTTGAAATTGGAGTAAAAACGGAAACCTTTGAATGTAAATCAGTTTATATACATTCATATTACAGTATTATATGCGTTGCGACCCACTTTTGTCAATTTATAGGTCCCAAATGTTAGCGATTTAGCTCTTTTAATATTTTAAGTCTGTCCTTGTGGAAACCTTTATCTGTGGCATTTCCAAATCTTACAATTCCAGAACTTCCCCCTACCCTAAAAGATGTGAAAGAAATACCAATTAAAAAATTTATCAAGGACTCACTGACGTTAAAGTGGTAGACAAGCCTTGGCCTCATACAAATTCTGTATTAAGTATATTATTGGGTTCATTTTAACTATAAGTGTCGTTACGTACGTATCCCTTGGTACGATACTTCAAAATTCGTCAGGGAAAATTAGCCAAGAAAATCGGAAATGACAAAGTCAGAGCAACGTATTCTGCTCAAAAGGAGATGGTGTCGGCTGAGACCGAGGAAGAAAATACGCTGCATGGAACAGATCATTCCAAAACCAGCACTAAGAAATAAGCAAGTGACATTAACTTTATCATATTATGTTAGTCCAGAAGAATGCCAATACCAGAATTTAATGGTATAACAGGAAGTGTCGTCCTACAAAATTCTAGGATCAATGTTGTTCCTGAAGTATAATATAAATATATGATCGCGTGTGTTTTCATTATATCATGACTGTTATTATATCCTGTTTGTTGTATTCTATCGTGTGTGCTCTTCTTATATCGTGTGTGATGTAACTTTATTGTGTGTACTACAGATGAAGCCAGTGTCCCACCTGTGTGAATTGTGTTACTGTCTGTTCCTGGTGATACTCCGACTCTATATTTGCTTGCCATTTCTTCATTTTTTAATTAAAATGGCTAAAACTTTGTGACATACCTGGAATTTTCATCCCTTTGATTTCTTCCCTTAGAATAAATGACTAGACGTCCCATAAAATCCAGTATTCTCTTGAAAATTTCACATATTTAGATATTGTCACTTTCTCAAAACATAAACATTAAGACTACGCGTGCGTTAAATGGAACAATTGCATTTCGCATTAGGGTAGACAGGTACTTTACAAATTTGGTGCATTCGGTTAGAAATGTCTAGTGAAGGAGAATTCGCCCGTTTGTTTCGCGACAATAATACGTATTAAGGTTTCACACTTTGGAGCTTGTTTGAAACAATATTGATCCCTGCATTGGCCGAGAAAGTTCATCCAGATTTTCCGGCGTGGTTCTCCATTGTCAGTGATGCAGGACGGAGGGGATAACAAGGAAAGCTGTCTAGTCGTTCGGATGGGACGAAAAACCGCGGTCCCGTGTACACATTGGCGTGCACGTAAAAGATCCCTTGGCAGTTGGAATTCGATATAAGAGTAGGCCGTAGTGCCGCTGTCCGGGCAAAATGTCCCTCATAGCACACTGAATGGCGTATGCCCGTCTTCATTAGCCCAAGTTAGGAGCAGAACAGTAGGACGTTAAACTCCATTTCATTTCATTTCATTTTGAAACAATATTGTTTTTGTTCGGATTGATATGGGTTTTTTTTCTGTTTGACCTTGCTTATTTCGCAAAAAAAATTGTTATGTAAAATTTCAAGATAGAAAATAGGCGATAATCAAGGAATGTGTCAATGCAAATCGCCATAACCCATGGATATTGTGGACCGAGTTTTTTGGGGGTATGTCCTGCAGCCGCCTTCGAAAATTTCATTACATTTCAATAGCGGGTTACAATTTGCATGTAGCTTATATCGATATCATAAAGTTACAATCCTCTGACGGAGGGCAATTAAATTGTCAAGTTAGTGGGACAAACAACCGTGGTCTGGGATCCGGTAAATATCTCTTTGAAAAGAGTTATATTCTACTGGACCGAAACAATCAATTACATATCCAATTAGGGCGAAACGACTTAAAGTCAACTCAGCACCCCTTGTCCACTTAGATTCTTCCAGATAACTAGGCCAAACATGGCTGTTTTTAGTACCAAGATGTCAACAAACCACGATATTTCTAAAGGAGAAAAGCTGTATAGCTTGGTCTGAACTTAGTTCTCACAAGACAGAAAGCAATGGGGTGACTATTCCAGGTATTTCACAAAGTTTTAGCCATTTTAATTAAAAATTGAAGAAATGGCAAGCAATTTTCTAGCATCACCTGGAACAGACAGTAGTTGTTTACTTTGGGAAAGGAATGTGACAAAGTATTACCTCTCATCAAATTGAACGATCATTTAGGTACATAGAACTTAATGAACTCTGCTAGTTTTGATAATATGTGATATTGACGTTTCACCTCTGCATAAACCTCTGTTAAGGCACGGACTGCCTACGACCTTTTTAAACATCTAATTAATTCAATATGTCCTTTACCAGCTACACATGATCTGTGTGTAACACTCGGCAGAACTTCAAAGAGAATGTAGTAGTGGTCAGTGTATCAAACTATGACCTGACAAAGACATCGAAGGAAATATACAGTGTAATTACAGACATCATAATTTGATAAATAAACAATACCATATATGATTATCACTCCTGTCCATCTCTCCCTTAATAAGCAGGCGTTTACTGACAGTAAGTCAGACTTGGAATAGAGCTCCTCCCGAATTATGTCTATTTCATGTTCTCAATAAAGGTCTTATCAATTATGCTGATCTCCTGTTATTTTTAGTGTTACACTATCCACAAGCTTCTCTCAGTAACTACTTTACTGCAGTGATTGCGAAAATGAGTTGGGTGGTCGTGTGGAGTAACGCGTAAGCAGGGGCGTGGTGACCCAGCATTTTGCATGAGAAACAAGATCCCGTCAGGCCCCCAAAAACAATATTTATATGTGTGTGCGGGAGACGGTCCCCTAGTGCCAGCGGGTAATATTGGGCTGAGTGGAACATGCTACATTCGATGTGTAGCATATCTGAACAACGGCATGTTTGGCAATGGCTAAGCATTATGATTATAATGATTATAATGTTGAAAACCTCATTGAAACCGCTTGATTTGTTGCCATTGCGAGGGGGGGGGGGCAAAAACTCTGTTTGATCCTGGGGTTTCCAGACCTATTTAACCTCGTGGGTTTTATCTACCCCCACCCCTCCACACCCACCTGCTTAACCTCGTGGGGTTTATCTACCCCTTACCATCCACACCCATCTGCTTAACCTGGTGTGGTTTATCTACCCCCACCCTTCCACACCCACCTGCTTAACCTGGTGGGGTTTATCTACCCCCACCCCTCCACAGCCACCTGCTTAACCTCGTGGGTTTTATCTACCCCTACCCCTCCACACCCATCTGCTGAAGCTGGTGGGTTTTATCTACCCCCACCCCTCCACACCCACGTTCTTAACCTCGTGGGGTTTATCTACCCCTACCCCTCCATACCCACCTGCTTAACCTCGTGGGTTTTATCTACCCCACCCCTCCAACCCACCTGCTTAACCTCGTGGGGTTTATCTACCCCCACCCCTCCACATCCACCTTCTTAACCTCGTGGGGGTTTATCTACCCCCACCCCTCCACATCCACCTACTTAACCTCGTGGGTTTTATCTACCCCCACCCCTCCATACCCACCTGCTTAACCTCGTGGGTTTTATCTACCCCCACCCCTCCACACCCACCTGCTTAACCTCGTGGGGTATATGTAGGAATTTGGTATAAGCAATATCGAGCATGTTGTTGGTGTGGATGTGTGAGTAACTGACAAGCCCCACCCCCTTGCGAATGTGAGTCAAAGGACAAACAAAAACATACAAACACCGTACTATTTTCTAATTTCATTATTTATGTTAATATTGTAATCATGTGATCACCAACGCATCTGTGTAGTTTAATAACGAAACCTGCATTCATGCACTTTAAAACGTCGATCTCTGAAAGATAGATTATAAACAAATATTCAAACATATGAGATTTGGTCAAATGAAATAATTTGAAATCGGGTTTAATGTTCTACTTTTCTGCACCAACCGGGTTATTTCTTCTTCTTCTATTAGTGTTTAACATCCGCTTCCGTCGAGGTTAAGGGGGAGGGGAGTGGTCGAATGGTTAGCGCATGCACGCTGTATCATAAGGCCTGTCATTGAGTCCATCTGGCGTGGTGATATCGCAGACAAGCTGTCTCATTTTTATTATCTTAGCGCACGCGCAGAGGTCTCTCCTGCGGGAGGAAACCGGAGTACCCGGGGTAATCCCATGGGGTTGATAGGGCGCCCCTATCTCTAAGCAGCATAACGCTGACACCAGGAATCTAAACCACGACCGCGAGCCAGAGGTGACCGGCCAGCTAGAGGTCGAAGCTCGAAACTCCAGGCCATTAGGTCATGCCAACTCACGCACCGGGTTAATGAAACGGGAATACGCGATGCTGTATGGTAATATGGGGCAAATGTAGGTCGGGCAGCTACCGGGTTAATGGAACGGGAATACGCCATGAAGTATCATAATATGGGGCAAATGTAGCTCGGGCAACGGCGTCTCGGGCAGCGGCGTTTCCATCTGCTCGTCAGGGCGGAAGAATCCCTGGAATCATCTCGACCTACACTTCGGGCAGCGGCGTTTCCGTCTGCTCTTTGGGGCTGAAGAGGGGTTGTTGCCCAGATTTGACTGATCGAGGTATTGCGTGTATCGTGAATCTGTTACTACAATCGATTCTCGGATATTGCAAAATATACCTGAAACTTTTTTTTCAGGTGTGGGGGGAGGTGGGAGGGGGCCGAATGGTTAGCACGTGCGCGCTGTATCATGAGGTGTGTCATTGAGTCAGCTGGCGTGGTCTCGATTCCCGGTTGTACGTGGCAAGGAGTACGGTCGCCTGTCCAACCTCGTCGGTTTCCTCCCACTGCTAAAGACCCCTACGCTCAAGCAAATTATTGAAATAAAAATTGAACCATGTGTTAGTCCAGAAATGACCTAATCTATCTATCTCTCTCTCTCTCTCTCTCTCTCTCTCTCTCTCTCTCAAATGAACAGATTTATAAGCATTTCTATCAATTGGATTTAATGTCGGACCAAGCGGAGTAAAGCCTAGCGAGAGTCTAACGCATCACTTGCGTGTGTTCAGCACCGTAGGGGATAACAGACTATCGCAGAGATTTTTGGTTCCTGCAGATACAACTTTTCACCCAGTTTCTTAAGGCTGGTCTACGAGCTACCAAATCCTACGACCCTTGCGTGTCAAAACGCGTACGGCGGCGGGTTGTGGGGCTGTTTTTAGTCCAGTTGGTTTAATGCGTGACCTAGTCAGCTGCATATTCCTGAAGCAATTGCCCGAGAAATCTCTCTATGGCCATTGCTGGATTAGCTTCTGATAGGCCTACTTGCGCTTTTGAGGGAGTGTGTCTATTCTTCCCGTTCAATCAAATTTATCCCCAAGTACAGTAACATGACAGGCCTTCGTTTAATCTGGGTCTTCCCTAAAACTTTGGACAGTGATTTAAGGTATTAAAAACGGTGAAAGTGTTGTTCGTCTCAAAACAATATTGTTTACATTATATCCGTATTGATAGCCTCGTTTGTCACACAATTAGTTTTTCTGCAATATTCTGCTGGTTAATTGGGCATAATAAAATCGTGAGTCGTGACGTAACGTTATGTAAACACATTTGGTCCAATTTGGAGATCTGTTTGGTATTGTTACGCAGTTAGCTATTAGTTGTTAATCTGACTATTAACTAGTCATAATTTAGAACAAGAATTTGCTTTCTTTACAGCAGTGAGAAGTGGGATTAGCTCTAATCAAACGAAACACTGCGAGGACTATGAGTCAGCTGGGCCTTTAAATTTCTTTTTTTAAAACAGGTTTTTTAAGTCTTGGATTACGTAGAAATCACCCCAATCGATGGTTCGATTTTTAAAGGACAAATTCTCCACATGGCAGCCCGTTTTACACATGGACACAGCTCACCAATTATTCCTATGCCGTCACAAGGGCGAAACTTGTTTTCTAGTTTTTCTCTCGCGTTGTCTTGTCACCCTTTTGCATAGCGATTTTGTTGACTTTTTGGTGTAGAATCGAAGAAAAGGGTTTGAATATACATTGTGTGCCATGTTTCCATTGTCAATGTTTTCTCTACTTTCAGTTTGTGTATCTCAAGTTTTCAATTATTTTACCTCATACGTGCTTTGCCACGTATTGCTCCATCTGTGGAAAAGTTAGTTAAGAGACGAGAATTAACATTAAAGTCAATGGGGAAATTATTGGTGATCTGTGACCACATCACTTAACGTCTAGAGTTACTTCCCTTAGTCCATTTAAACATACGGTCCACCGTGATTACGAACACAGGATTTCAAACATTCGATATGATTCAGGAAACTAACAATTGGGATCATATAGAGATTTAAAACTTCAAAATAATTCTATAATAAAATCGAAACTTACTTTGCGGTGGAATCAAATGTGGATGACATGCCATTGATATATTCGTGGCCTGGAACGCCATATTCTACTTGACCATCGATAGAATTCACGTAACCACTGTCAACACAAGAAGGTGACGATACTGGAAATATAAAAACATGCAGTTTTTTTGTAATAATACATAGATTTAAATTAACATTTATCAGACCTGCAAATAGGCAGAATTAACTCTAGCTCTTAAAGGCTCAATACCATTCTTGTTGTAACTGAATAATATGTCCCAATCTTTATTCTGGTCAACAAATTGTACTATTTTAGAATATTCCAATTAATTGATGATACAAATTTCATCTGAACACACCATCTTTAAAAATTTTGAAAAATTCAACATAATGGTTTGAAACGTCTAACGTAAACCTTTTCAAATGAAACTTCGATTTAAAAATATTTTCGAACGCTCTGGACAAGTAAAATAGGATGTAATGGATAATTTACACAACAGGTAGGACACTTAAACATCTAGTACTTAGATAGAGATATTATTTATTTTCTGGAGCTTTCAAGCCAGCAAGAGTGTTATTGTCCCTTTAACAAACGCACCTTTAATGTAGATTTAATAAAACAAAACGATACAATGGTTAAAATTTCTTAAACATACATTATGCGAGATCTAGAGAAAAAGCTGACTGTTATTGTTATAATATTTTTAAAAAAAGATAATGAAAATTGAATTAACTGAAAATTTTATTCGGGCAAAGTTATGAATGGTTGACAAGATATAGCCATATCCACCGTTCAAATGTTCCCGATTGCCTAGTACCATTGCCATTATAATAAACGAAGTCTCCATTGTCAACCTTTTTATCGGCAGACTTCGGCGGACATTTTCGAATCCCGGCAGTATAATATACGCGCCATCAATCATGCGGATATGGCAGCTATTTTCTAATCCGCTCAATATCTACGCCATCTGATGGGAGCTGATTATAAACTTGTCATGTAAATAATATATAAATAATAATTTGAAGCCAGCAAACAAACGGCGGTAGTCAAGTTTAGCTCTCGGATAACGTCTGTATTAAACTGGGGTAAAAGAGCAAAAACGTGATGACAAGGTTTAATCTAAATGGGGGGGGGGGAGATGGCCGAATGGTTAGCACGTGCGCGCTGTATCATACGGTCTGTCATTGAGTCAACTGTTGGGGTTTCGATTCCCCGGTTGTAAGTGACAAGGAGTAGGGTCGCCTACTCAACCTCGTGGGTTTTCTAAGGGTCCTCCGGTTTCCTCCCACTGCTAAAGACCCGCGCAAGCAAATTATTGAAATAAAATTGAACCATGTGTTAGTCCCGAAATGACCTAGTTTGTGACGAGTGGACGTTAAACTCTCTCTCTCTCTCTATTTCTCTCTCCCTCTCTCTCTCTCTCTCTCTCTCTATTTCTCTCTCTCTCTCTCTCTTTTGTGCTCTTTGATACACTTGTTCAATGTTGACTGTTATGTTGGGTACTGGAACGCCATCACACTGAATAATTGTGCATACTTACAGCTTACTGAACAGCACCGGTAAGAAAATCTTCTATCCCCATCGCTGGTAACGTAGTAACTTCTGATTCCAGCAAGAGCACCATTCCCTGAACACTTGTAGGTCGTGTCTGATGCAGCGGAAGAATATCCTGAGACAATAAAAATATTTCATACACTAATATCTTAGAGTTTGTTCATTATGTTTTTCGATTTGGGGGGGGGGGGGGGCGTGCGCGCTGTATCATAAGATCTGTCATTGAGTCAACTGGCGTGGTTTCGATTCCCCCGACTTTACGTGACAAGGAGTTGGGTCGCCTGTCCAACCTCGTGGTTTTTTCTCTGGGTTCTCCGGTTTCCTCCGGTGGGACATAAAATACAATTATTTACATAACATTTTATTTTGTACTCTTATTCTAATTCCATTTTCATTACAAAAGGTTTTGAACATATTAAGCTGGTTTGTTATGGATTGCATAGACTATGAATAAACCATTGATAAGCCAGTGCAAGCTAAATCTATTTGTTAAGGCCAGCCTAATTTTTGTCAGGGTCGTTGGGATGTAAATAAGGTTAGGGCACGTGATTGTAGGGTAAGCATTGGGGCTGGGTCCAGTGTTAGGGTTAGGGTTGGGATTAGCGCTAACCCTGTTTACATATCGTGACCGATGACGAAAAATTGAGCTGGCCTTGTGATTTAACACTAACCATCACAGATACACGGTGTATAATTTGTTTTATGGATATCAGTACCATTTAAAATTCCATATAGTATCGCCATTTAAAAGGTCTTGAATCCCTTACAAAATACAGTACACGGAAAGGCGGATCTTTTAAAGGTGGATCTTTGAAAAGCGGATCTTTTAAAGGAATATCTGTCCAAACTTGGTTCAGTTCAGTACTTACAAAGAATTGAAAAGTTCGCAACGTTCGACATTCACTGCAGAAGATATCTGCGGGTTGGTTTTTTTTTTTGAAATCACACAATCGTTTGTGAGAAGTAGCCTTCACTGTTGAGGTGCAGCATTTGACATCAGAACACTCTCGCACGCCATTGGGAGAAAAGAGAGAGAGAGAGAGAAATGGGGTTTAACGTCCACTCGACACAAACTAGGTCATTTCGGGACTAACATGTGGTTTAATTTTATTTATATAATTCGCTTGCGCGTATCGCTTGCGCGTAGGGGTCTTTAGCAGTGGGAGGAAACCGGAGGACCCGGAGAAAACCCACGAGGTTGGACAGGCCATTGGGAGAAGACCGGGACATTTTTTAAATATGATAAGTAGTGGGACAAATACCCATTCAGATTAAAACACAGATCCTATTTTGTTTAGTTTTTATAGTTCAAAATTTCGTTTTACTTGTCTTTACTACACTAGGATCTGGAAGAGTTGTTATATAACACACGTTCTAGTAATTTAGCCAATGAAACGGTCTGTTACGGCGAGTTCTTGGCGTGCTCTAGAAACCTCAACGCTGATTGATTAATCAATGTCTGATGTGAACATGTCTCGTGCGTCCAAACTCAATATTTCTAAGCAAATAAATGGCTAAACAGAGAGAGCGAGAGAAATGGGGGTTTAACGTCCACTCGACACAAACTAGCTCATTTCGGGACTAACATATGGTTTAATTTTATATCAATAATTCGCTTGCGCGTAGGGGTCTTTAGCAGTGGGAGGAAACCGGAGGACCCGGAGAAAACCCACGAGGTTGGACAGGCGACCCTACTCCTTGACACGTACAACCGGGGATTCGAAACCACGCCAGTTGACTCAATGACAGGCCTTATGATACAGCGCGCACTTGCTAACCATTCTGCCATCCAACCCCCCAAATGGACATTGTACCCAAAAACCACATACAATGGAAAAACGACTTTGTTTGAAGCAGGACAAAATGCACAGTGTATACTTTCTTTTGGACATTAGTATAGTTGATATACAGTGTCCTGGACATTTCTGCAGTATTTATTACTTATTGGTTTCCTGTTCCTTCGATGTCTGTCGCGTTTATCTTGTTGTTCACTCTTAGCTCCTTTCGGGTTGAGATCTACTCTCACACCGAAGTTTGTCATTAAATTTGGGGTTTCGGGTTGTTTTTTTTTTGGGGGGGGGGGGTTCCAATGTTGATGGGATTCGGAGCACATTCATTTAAAACTCCAAAACATTACATACAGCCGAACGACTAATTTGCTGGTACGATTATGCAGGAGCGTAACTAGCTCAGAGCAACGAGGGGGGCGGGGCGGGAAGTGTTCTCGGGGGTGCTGTAAAATTGACAGACAGAGAGAGAAATGAGGAAATGTATTATTCAAGATCTGGGGAACAAGTGGTTTCTTCAGTTCACCTAGAAATTTAATGTTATCCTAAATATGACATAGAATGAAGCGTAACAAGTTTTATTAAATGAGAGAGAGAAATTGGGTTTAACGTCCAAACGACACAAACTAGGTCATTTCGGGACTAACATATGGTTTAATTTTATTTCAATAATTCGCTTGCACGCAGGGGTCTTTTGCAGTGGGAGGATACCGGGGGACCCGGAGAAAACCCAAGAGGTTGGATAGGCGACCCTACTCCTTGTCACGTACAACCGGGGATTCGAAACCACGCCAGTCGACTCAAAGACCGACTTTATGATACAGCGCGCGCACGCTAACCCTTCAGCCAGCCATCCATCCCCCCTCTAGTTACGGGCCTGCGGTTATGTTTCGTTTCGTTTATTCTCAACCAATTGCTTTAACTCACCCGACCAAGAGCAGGAGCCTATAGATGATCTAGGTGCACAGTGAAAGTGCCAGAGTCTGTCATTTGCACTGGTAATAATCCAACCATAAAAGTAAACTATACTTTCACCCACAGGACATTCGAAGTTGAAATTCTGGTGATTATCGTTTATCCATATGGCCTGTTTTGTCGTCACGGTCACTAATACCATACCAAACACCAGTAAAGCTAAAATCTGAACAATATTTTTTTTTTTTTTTACTGTTATTCAATAGTAACTTTTATGGAAGCCTGCTGAGACCACGAGAGAAATCAAGAAGTATTTTTAAACGAGAAACAGAGAAGAAAAAAGAACAAGTTGAATATAAGACATTTACATAGATTTTGAGTATATGTGTATTACTAGCAATGGATGTGTATTACTAGTATTGGATGTGTATTACTAGCAATGGATGTGTATTACTAGCAATGGATGTGTATTACTAGCAATGGATGTGCATTACTAGCAATTGATGTGTATTACTAGTAATGGATGTGTATTACTAGTAATTGATGTGTATTACTAGCAATGGATGTGTATTACTAGCAATGGATGTTTATTACTAGCAATGGATATGCATTTATAGTAATGGATGTGCATTACTAACAATGGATGTGTATTACTACTAGTAATGGATGTGTATTTCTAGCAATTGTTAATAGGATAATAATGACCGGCCTCGCTGTTTTAAGACTGTTAGGAATTTAAATTTGGTGAATGTCTCCGTCTTACAACAATAGCTTCATTATTTGGGAGGGGGTTGGGGTGGGGTTGAAACTGGTCCACAAGCGCTACTAATCGTGAAAACAACACTAACGCTCCGTCAATTCATCTGCAATCAACATGACATGAAACTTGACATGTGTGGTGTCTAGCTATCACATTAATATTCATATTACTGTACAATGGGAGATAACTCCATTCTAGTTGTCTATTGATCATGTGACATGTATGACGTATTATGAAAGTTCCATGGCGTCTTTCAACCATGTATGTTTGTCAAAGATGATTATTATTATTGTTCGATTTATATAGCGCTTCATTACACGTGAAGTGTTTCTAAGCGCATATCACAAACATATACTTCAAACACACAGAAACAATCAAAATCAGGAGAACATAATTAAACACAGCTGCCTGTTAGGCGCTATTATTCAAAGGTTTACATCCAACAAATCAACCGGCTAATCTCTATATTGAACTCAGTCGAGGTATTACCTGATGAACACCTACACCAAGTAGAGTTCAAAAATAAAAAAACGAAGTTTAAAAGAATCAACTTCATTAACAAAAATTAAACAATCAAAAACTTAACAGATAAATCAAATTCAAACGAAACAAATAAAACAAAGAAAATGAAAAGAGCAGTTCATTACCATTCTACATTAACAAAATAAAGGAAAACAACTTGTGAAAAAAATTTTAAAAAATAAGAGCAAAGTAACACTAATGTTAATACTTTTTTGACGAACATATCATAAATATAATTAATTTTACCTATAATATCTATTTCAGAAATCAGACTTTATTTTGCAAATAAAATAATCCAAAGAGTTGTGTACGACCATTATAAATCACTTCATCAAAAAAATGGCAAATACCTTAGAAGAAGCACCCCAAAGACATGGTCAATCTTACCACCATTCTTAGCCAAATTTTTGATTTGCGGAAGGTGGGTACCAGCGCCATACAAAAGTCCCTATTTCAAATTCCCGCGCTTTCAGATTCTTATCATATCCTTCTTTTTGACGTGAATGATATATACTTTAACTTTAATTTTCAACAATGAAACAAATATATTTACACTTTGACTTCCATGAAGTTTAAACCAGTGTTGTCATTCAGAATTGATTCACAGAACGAAAAGGTAACATAACTGTGTACCAGTCACCAGACATGCTTTAGATATATCAATAAAAATATATTAAGGAAGAAAATCATTCCTGACATCCTCAGAATTTGTGTCTTACAAACTTAAAATTTGTGTACAAGAATGTCTGAGCATTCACCAGATCGCCCCTGTATTTCAATCCCTACACTGGCTCCCAAATTCTTCAAAGGATAAATTTCAAATTACTCAACTTCGTCTTCAAAGCATTAAACGACCAAGTTCCATCTCGCATAGTCTAGTTCCCAGACAACGCATGCCCAGAATTCTAATAATTCTGAACCTAGACTAGTTAATAAACCTCTAGTATCTGAAGATGAGGAAATCGAGGTTCCTATCGAATTGTGTATTCCTCCGCGACCTGTTAGTCATAACTGTGAGAATATTGTTCAAAAGAATTTTCCAAAACAACAAGATTTGATCAAACTCCTAAACGTTATTAAACGGAAAATCATCAGAGATTATAATCTTTCTATAGATGCGAATAAATTACGTATCGAACAAGAAACCTCGCCATATTTTAAGCCAATTTACGATTATTTATGTCATGACATTTTGCCAGCCAATAAGAAGTCAGCAAAGACAATTCAATTAAAATCCGAAGAATATCTTTTATGCGATTCAGGCTTATCATTCATAAAGATGAAACATTCACATTGCAATTAGCCATTCCCGAATCAATGTGTCATAGCCTTATCAATATCTACCACGATAGTCAACTTTCAAATCACCAAGGTATTGTTCGCACATATCTAACAATGAGAAAATTATTTTACTTTCCTAACATGTTTGACACTATTTCTTCCTATATCAAATCATGTTTCAAATGCCAACAATTTAAAGGCAAAACCGAATTCCTACACATTATAGAACTTTTGATAGATTAAGTCTTGATTTCAAGAGTATGCCATCTTCATCAACCGGATTTAAAAATCTAATGGTTGTTTGCGACGAAATAACAAGATTCGTTGTTTGTGTTCCTTTAAAATCTCTAGAGGCTGAAACTATGTGAAGCAATCATACAGAAGATGAATAAAATCCATCGTAATCCTCAGAACAGTATGGTTTCCATTACATACACGCTACATATTTAGTGACGAGTGATTTAAGAATCTACGTTTACAAGAATTAGCCATGCCAGAGCCTTCATCTTCAAGAAATGGGCAATTTCAGCCAACACATTTGTCCTACACATACACCTACATATTTGCGTTCATTTGACAAATACGCATCGAATTTTGATAACACGTCACATTTCCTAGATGGGAGGGATGACGGACATTACCGTCAGTTTCGAGTTCATAGTACGGTGCTACTTGTTTTCCATGGTACGAAAAACAAAAAGTAATGTCACATAAATACTGAAAAGGTGGTTTATTTCCACGTTGTGAAATCGATCTCAAATTTGCCAAGCGCAAATCAATTACCCGAAAGTCACTGATGGTCATTTGAGGTAAATTGAATAAACAAAATATCGTGGTAGGTGAATCTCTTACAGAAATGTTAGTTCACAAATAGTTCAGTTCCTTTGAATAATTACAATGTTTTGATGGATTGATAATTTCGACATCCCCAGATGATATAAAGAAGACAGAAAATGAAATGAAATAAAATGTGGTTTAACGTCCTACTGTTCTGCTCCGAACTGGGCTAATGAAGACGGACATAAACCATACAGTGTGCTGAGGGAAATTTTGCCCGGACAGCGGCACTACGACCTACTCTTATATCGAATTCCAACTGTCAAGGGATCTTTTACGTGCACGACAATGTGTACACGGGACCTTGGTTTTTCGTCCCATCCGTCCTGCATCACTGACAAAGGGGAACCACGCTAAAGAACAATGCAATCTATAAGAGTTTGGCAAAACCTTTTGATGGACCCCGTTGTAATCCGATTGCATCAAAGCCGGTGATATATGTTTTTTTTCTTCTTCTTTTTTTGTCTATATTAAATTTTAAATAATTAAACATACATCATGCATGAGCTAAATCTGCCTATTGCATGTCTTTCTTTAGGCCTAAAATGTTATATAAACTATTAATTAGACATTTATTAACAAAACAAGACCATAATCGACTCTCGATGGCATAGATACTCGAGATTTTAACTAGATTAAAAAGGTTCGCCATTTAAAAATTTAATTAAAAAATGGGAAAGCAAGGCCAAAGCCCGATTATACCAGTGCCCTGGTTACCACTTTGCACGCATCTTTTCAAAACTACAAGTAATTTGAATGAAATTGTTAATATTTTCTATTTTTATCATCTAATTTTGAATTATTATAGCAAGAATGACCAACTCTTTATTAAACTCTTAATTAATGTATTTTTAATTTGAGTATATTCTATAGCGTGGATTATGCCGTGAAACTTTTGATTTTGTCTGAAAATGTAAGTGATGATCAGCGATGCTAAACTATGTCTGGGTGAAAATGGGGCTTAACGGTCATTTCGGGACCAACATCTAGTTCAATTTTATTTCAATAATTCGCTTGCACGTAGGGTTCATTAGCAGTGGAAGGAAACAGGAGGACCCGGAAAAAAACCCCAAGAGGCTGGACAGGCGAACGGGGAATCGAAACCACGCTAGTTGACTCATGACAGACCTTATGATGCAACACGCAGGCTCTAACCATTTGGCCATCCAATCCCCCGGCACACATTAGACATTCTGCGAAAGGGTCTAGTTAATGTTATATCAGTAATTCATTAAAGGGCTAATCCCGATAATATTTTGGAGAATAAAACTGCTTAATTTTGTGTTAAAATCCCTTACAATCCTCTACCTTAGGGCCGAGCAGCTAACTCAATATATTTGATACGTTTTTAAACAACTTAAATCCGTCGGTCTTCATCTGAAAATGGAGATCGGTGTCCCAAGCTGTATTATGCGGTGTCTGGATAAAACCAGACTTTTATTTTATAAATATAATGTGTAGGTGAAATTTACCTTTCGCACGTGGGTCATGTACTGTATAGACCTCTAAAGGGACGGGAATCGATTATCAGGAAACCCAACGAAAAAATTGACCCGAAATCTTAAGAGTTACGTGTCCGGATAAGCAGTTTTGACGTTCACGTCCAAACGACTCAATATTGGAGCTGAAATTTTGGGACAAGGTAAATACACCATTCCTCTATATTTTGGGGCTTAAATTTCATACGTACTCGGACTTTTATTTTTGAAACTCTATTCAAATCGGGATAGTCCCTTTAAATCACATTATCGTGGAGCCGACATAAAGAGTTTTGTTTGTTTTTATGAAAGTAAGCCAACGTAAACAAGAATAATTTAACGCCATTAATCGGCTTTTAATCATACTTATTAAATTAGAATTAGAAAATTATTTTTCCTTAAAGGAGCTAAATCGTTAATATTTGGGACCTAGAAATTGACACAGTTGGGTCGCAATGCATATAATAATGTAATGTGAATGTATATAAACTGATTTACATTCAATGGTTTCCGTTTTTACTCCAATGCCAAATCAGTTATGTTCGGTGAAATATGCCAGAAGTCTCAATCGAATGGTAATCTCTATACGTCTGGTTATTTCAGTCTACACAGATAGTATTTATCGCGTATGCTCTCCAGATAAGAATATGGCATCATGATGTTGGCGTACCATTATTTCAAATAATCATACGGGCAACTTGCCAATCGTACATTATTCATACTAGTGAAATATTTGACTCGCGTGACGTATTTCACTGTAAAAGCACGTGCGGAATGTCTCGAGCTTAAGGCATTGCGTAATATATTGTAAAAACACTCGGGCCTACTGCCCTCTTGTTGTTTCAATATATCACTGAATGTCTCGCTCTCGACCATTAAACTATACATTACAACACTTGCTCCAAGCAAACATAAATTTGATAGCAAACCAATTGAAGAATTAGAGGTTTAAAACGTTGGAGGTTGGTAAGATTCGATAAGTTTGTAGATAGTCATAATGTTTTAACTATACAGGTCACAATACTATAGAATATAATTACTGCTTATTTTTGCTGAGCGGGGCTCACGGTGGCTAAGTGGGTAAGACGCTGACTCGCTAGTCTGGGGTCGTGTGTTCGATCCCTGCATTGGCCGAGAAAGTTTGGGATTTTCCGACGTGGTTCCCCTTTTCAGTGGTGCAGGACAGATGGTCTGACAAGGAAAGCTGTCTAGTCGTTCGGATGGTACGTAAAATCGAGGTCCCGTGTATACATTGGTATGCACGTTAAAGATCCCTTGGCAGTTGGAATTCGATGTAAGAGTAGGCCATAGTGCCGCTGCCCGGGTAAAATTTCCCTCCTAGCCCACTGTATGGCGTATGCCCGTCTTCATTAGCCCAGTTCGGAGCAGAACAGTAGGACGTTAAACCCCATTTCATATCATTTCATTTCATTACTGAACGACGTTTCGACTAGAGACAGTAGGACGTTAAACCTCATGTCATTTCATTTCATTTATTACTGAACGACGTTTTGACTAGGCTTCTCTAGTATTGTTGTTTACATGTATATATTCACACTGATCCGCAGTAAATATTCGCTAGGCCGCGACAATCACTGATAAGGATGACATCAATGCGACTTAATGAGCCACAAATATTAACTTTTTTCCCCCCGACAAATTAAGTAAAAGGTGCCATTCTGCTCGAATCAGTAACGTTTTATTTAAACAATGTACGCGCCATTGAGCCAATAATTGACACCGCGTGATATGACGTCATGTGTTGAAGGCAGTCATCTTTTACAGAGATATTAGAAGACTTTCGTAATACTCTGTAAAACAGATTGGTATATATTGTCTTGTTATATTTTCATATTTTATCATTGCTTGATAATGACTCGAGAAGTCTAGTCGAAACGTCGTTGAGTAATAAGCAGTAATTGTATTCCATAGAATTGTGACCAGGGGCCTGTTTCACGAAATTGTAACTAAACATAAAATCCAAATTTTAGTTGATACTCCAATTTTGATTGACTAAGCACTAAAATCAATCTAATCGAATTACTAAAATTTGGATTTTATCTTAGTTAAAATTTGGTGAAACAGGCCCCTGTATATTCCAATTCAATTACTAAATGCCATTGTTTTAACTCCTTGCAAAAATTAATTCAATATCAACAATATAGCTACTTCATTGTTTTGTAGTAACTGAAAAAGTAAATTTTCGATTAAAATTAAAAGGTCGCCTACTTTGAAGTTTTCTAATCCATGTGGCGACCATAGTTGTTTAAAAATCCCTAATTTAATATGATTTTGTTTTGAAAGCACGAAACTATGAGAACTTACATATTGAGGGATGCCCATGTTCATCTAGTTATGTCCGCCCAGTTCCAGGTATTTCAGCCTTCTGAACTAATAAAAACTTCATTCACCTTTTATGATTATCATTATTAAAAAGATTTTCATTAATTTTGAAAACGTCCAAAACATAATAGACGTGATTTAATGACTTGTAAAATTAGAATTGCCAAATATTCATCAGGCGTACATGATGTATAAATTATACACGCCATTTTGTTTTTCTGAAAGTTTATTAAACTGGGATGGAGTTTAATGTCTCGTGCACACAATATGGTAATTAGTATTACTATGGTAACATGTACAATGCCTAGAAAGAGGCATTTTTATCTATACTCAAGTTCATTTGGCAACTGCAGGGGTGGATCTAGGAAGATTTGCAGGAGGGGTTTGCCAGGTTCCTGTTAAAGAAATTTGATAGTAGACAATGCATGATGCCATCATCGTCTCCAAATTACATAGGCATACATACACACTAGAATTCCAACACCCCGTTTGACGTCATTTTTTTTTATTATGAATTAATAGGATCACATTGTGATTCAATTTCATTGTTGCAAAGCATTAATTGTGATATCACGTATGTTTATATCATTATCTCGCGCTTTGAATCCCAATCCCATCCCATCATCTGATAATAAAGGATAAAGCACACGGCCGTGACACTTTCCTCATAAAAGTGTTGTTTTACATTTTTTATGTGACTGAGCAGGGTCCCCCACCACCACCACCACCGGTTCCGTCTCTAAACTTTCAAGGTTCCTTCGCGAGAACACCAATGCACGTAAAACATCCCTTGGCAGTTGGAATTCGATATAAGTGTAGGCCATAATGTCGCTGCCCTGGCAATATTCCCCTCATGCCACACTGCATGGCGTATGCCAGTCTTCATTAGTCCAGTCGGAGCAGAACAGTAGGACGTTAAACACCCCTTCATTTCATTTGATATCCACATAAGACAAGATATTGTATTGTAACATAATGTATATCATTTAAAAACAAAACAAAAATAAAACCTTAATCCATTATCCATTTTATATAAATTATTAACTGGCAATCGTGTTTAAATCCGTTGAAAATCAAAGCCATCCGATGTTCTAGAAAGTTATGGGTTTGGCATGTGAATAACTGTCTAATTAATGATTTAATATAACATTTGGGGGCCAAACGAAAAATCTGCATTAGGAAGATTTAGCTTTTTCATAATACAACTTTAAAAAAAATTCAAACGTGGGATCTATTAATTTTAATTTAGAATTAAAAAAAAAGATATTCGTTTTAATATTTTAAAGTTACCGGTGCGAGTCGATTTATTGTTTAGTTTTATTATTGCTGGGAGCATTATTAGGTCTATTAAATTAATTCATACTTATGCTCATCGTAAAATAATCCGAGCATATCGTTTGTTGTCGCATGATAAAATTTGCTGAAACGAAGTTAATCCGCGATTTGATTTTTATCACGTTGCTTTGGTTCATTTGGTAAAAATATTATTCTAGTTTTAATTGTGTTTAGTATAATATGCTTGCTTATCAGTGATACAGGACTGAAGGCCTGACAAGGACAGCTGTCTAGTCATTCGGATAGGACGAAAAACCGAGGTCCCGTGTATACATTGGAATGTACGTAAAAAATCCACTGACTGTTGGAATTCGATATAAGAGTAGGCCGTAGTCAGGGGCGGATCCAGAGGGGGGGGGGGCTCTCAGCTACATAAAAAAATTTTTTGTAAAACAACCTCTTTTATGAGAAAAGTGTCATAATTGTGCTTTATCCTTTATCGTCAGATGGTGCGACAGGATGGGCACTCAAAGCGCGAGTTAATGATATATGTGATATCACAATTAATGCTTTGCATCAATAATTAAATTGAGTCACAATGTCGTCGTATTAATAAATAATAAAAATTGACGTCTAAACAGGATGTTGGATTTCTCTGTTTAAAAAGCTCAATGTGTATGTATATACGCCAAAATGACGATAGAGACCATGTATTTCTCAAAAAATCCCAGGAACCTGGCAAACCCCCTCCTGCGAAAATTCCTGGATCCGCCCCTGGTAGTGCCGCTGTCCGGGCAACATTTCCCTCATAGCACACTGTATGGCGTATGCCCGTCTTCGTTAGCCCAGTTCGGAGCAAAACAGTAGGACGTTAAACCCCATTTCATTTCATTTCCATTTTAAGCTTGTTTTAAAACGCCGGTGATCTTTAGAACGGCTTAAACACACATTATGCAAGAGCTAAATCTGAAATGTTATATAAACTATTAATTAGACATTTATTAAAGGGACTATCCCGATTTGAACAGAGTCTCAAAAATAAAAGTCTGAGTAAGTATGAAATTTAAACGCCAAAATATAGAGGAATGGTGTATTTACCTTGTCTCAAACTTTCAGCTCAAAATATTGAGTCGTTTGGACGTGAATGTCAAAAACTGCTTATCCGGACACGTAACCCTTTTAAGATTTCGGGTCAAATTTTTCGTTGAGTGACCTGATAATCGATTCCCGTTCCTTTAGAGGTCTATACAATGAATGACCAATCTGCTGTAATTGATAACGAAAGGTAAATTTCGCCTACACATTATTTTTTATAAATGTTGAGGATTTTAAGGGATTTTAACACAAAATTAAGCAGTTTTATTCTCCAGAATATTATCGGGATTGGCCCTTTAACATGAAAAGATCGGTTTTGGTAATTGTTTGGTCCGTTATTGTCTTAGTTTTCTCTCCTAAGAGTTTTAACCTATTGGACAGAAACGAATGAATGAATGAAATGGTGTTAAATGGCACGTCAGAACCAACCGAGCTATATTGCGCCAACTTTTTGAAAGAACTGGAGGTCAAGTTCTGAAAGCATGATCTTGATCTTTTATTATTTCAGAAATGAAATGAAATGGGGTTTAACGTCCTACTGTTTTGCTCCGAACTGGGGAAATGAAGACGGGCATACGCTATACAGTGTGCTATGAGGGAAATTTTGCCCGGACAGCGGCACTACGGCCTACTCTTATATCGAATTCCAACTGTCAAGGGATCTTTTACGCGCACGCCAATGTGTACACGGGACCTCGGTTTTTCGTCTCATCCGAATGACTAGACAGCTGTCCTTGTCAGGCCCTCCGTCCTGCATCACTGACAAGGGGAAACCACGCCGGAAAATCGGGATGAACTTTCTCGGCCAATGCAGGGATCGAACACCCGACCTCCAGGCTAGCGAGTCAGTCCCTTCCCACTTAGCCACCGTGATTATTTCAGAATGTGTAGTTGTTCTTCGGAAGGAAGTTCAACCGGATCATGTGATATAACAACAGGTGCGTGTCATTGTAAAGATAACGTACAGGGTGACAAGTGTGATACGTGTAAATCTGGTTACTTTAATCTGGTCACTACCAATCCAAAAGGATGTCAGCCATGTTTTTGTTTCGGTCATGGCTCCTCGTTCTTTAACTTCCGGTTGTTCACCACTTCAACATAGGTTTACTGGGTAAGTCATATTTTGTTTGTAACAAGGTTGGTTTAATTGTTTTGGCCTATTTAAAATTTAAACTATTAATTTGAGAACATTTTAATGTTAACTAAGCCATGCAAAATTTATTATTGTTCACAGTCGGGATACCCGAAGCCCATCTTTTTAGGATAAGGTAACAACATCAATGTTGATTTAAATTGACCAATAAGTCATGTCTGGCAATGTCGAAGACTGGATGATATTGGCGGCTTTAATTCCTTGTTAGATGATAATATCCATTCCCCCTCTTCTTAGAATGTATATACGAGACCAGTGTTGCTATGGATAGTGCTAAATGGTAAGGCCAGGTCACAAGATGTAAACAGGGCTAGCGCAAATCCCAACCCTAACCCTGGACCTAGCCCCAATGCTTACTTAAACCCTAACATACAATCTTGTCAACAATCACATGCCCTAACCTTATTTACATCTCAGCGACCTGGACAAAAACTGAGCTGACTTTAACAAATAGATTTAGCCGTATGTTGTTGCGTGTTCGTGTGTAGTTCCTGTAGATATGATTCGTAAACAAAACAAGGTAGGACGGGGGAGAGAGAGAGAAATGGGCTTTAACGTCCACTCGACACAAACTAGGTCATTTCGGGACTAACATATGGTTTAATTTTATTTCAATATTTAGCTTGTGCGTAGGGGTCTTTAGCAGTGGGAGGAAACCGGAGGACCCGGAGAAAACCCAAGGTTGGACAGGCGACCCTACTCCTTGTCACGTACAACCGGGGATTCGAAACCAAAGGTAGGACGGACAGAGACGATTTCAATACCTGTCCCTGAACTGTGGATTGGATTTTGGAGACTTAGGAACTCACCTTCTTGCGTCCATTACAACATCACTTCTTGGCATAAATAAATTATAAATTATACAAGGGTCATTATGTATATAATTTTAATGTACAGTTCCAATTACATACAACCACAGGATATTCCCTGTATCATATTTATATTATGTTTAGGTAGAAAATATGAATAATATATGATTGTAAACCAACTTTAAAATAAAATCACCACAGTCAAATATTATACAGAAATCTAAATTCTCTAAAATTGTTCCAAAAAAACATGATAAAAAAAAATCATCTCAAATCTGTTGACAGGCGTTACTGACGCTGAATAATAAATAACATAACTTTATTATATTATCAAATAAGTGGTTGCTACAAAATATTTATATTTTACTAGATGACTAATATCAGAAAATTTCTCAAAAACAAAAGGAGAAAAAAATAACATGAACTAATTTCTGGACTTTAATTTGTATGAAATAAGTACCTACCCATAGGTTTTGTTCATTTGTGTGTTAAACCAGTCCATTTCAATACTTTTTAGTGCTCTTTTAAAAGATCATTGTACTAACATATTTTTCAGTGGTCTGGTTTTCCATAATGTAAAGATTATTGTACTAACACACTTTTCGGTGCTCTGGTTTTCCATAATGTAAAGATTATTGTGCTAACACACTTCTCAGTGCTCTGGTTTTCCATAATATAAAGATTATTGTACTAATACACTTTTCAGTGCTCTGGTTTTCCATAATGTAAAAATTATT